AGCCATCAACCTTCAAGTTCTGGCTCAGAATTCACCTCCTAACTCCCTCTGACTCGATCCTACAAGATTTATTAAAGGACCCCTACACTTCTACGTGGTTTCACTTCATAGAAGCCAAACTATTGTCATTATCTCTCTCTGTTGAAACTCTAGCCGACATAAACCTCAACTCAGCATATCAAATCATTAGATCCAGTCTCTATGACCTTGAATATGCAACCCTATTCTCCCAATTGAACCCCACCTGCTCCCCTCTTGCTTTTGGCCTATCCCCCTCCCTTGGCCGCCCCTCCAATTATTTTAACCAATTGTCCAACCCTCAAAAAAGACGAGCTTTTATGCTCGCTAGGCTGAATATCTTTCCATCAGCAGCCCACTTTGGGAGATTCACTCGAACCCCCCGCCCCAACAGATTGTGTCATTCTTGTGCATCCGAACCCGACTCCCTGGACCACATCTTACTCCGGTGCCCATCCCACAACATCCCCCGTAAGCGGCTACTAGGCCCACTCCTCTTAACGAGCGCACCGCATAACAATGAAATCGCATAGCAATCCGTTTTTTCGGATCGCTAATGCGATCGCTTAACGTTTTTAAAATAGGGCTAAATTCGCTTTGCGAAAGGTTTCTGTATGTATGTATGTATGTATGACTAGCCATCACTCAACAGTGGAGGGCCTGGTCTCAGGCCTGCATGTTTTTCCACTCTGTCCAACCACCTGCATCTGGGAAACCTCTAACAAGAGTACAATTGTAGCAGCTTCTTCTGTTGTTTCTTCTAGTACAGTATTTGGTAACCAGAGGCATACTGCATTGGAATATGGAAGCGGGTTCTGGTTAGGTGAGACAACATTGTTTGTTTGTGCTGCCTCCTCCGGTCTAATCTTTTAAAGTTTTCTTCAAATAATTATCCTGTTCAAGACAGCCTGTACTTATTAGTATCCTTGCTGTGCTTGACACCGAACTAAGAGACGGAAATAGATTCGAAAACAAACAACTTGTAAGCTAGACTTTGCGGTTTGTTGTGCATACCTTTGGTGATAGGATAAGTATAATCAACCAAAATATAACTGCTGCTTTGAGAAGCTGACATCAACAACATCTGGGGACCAAAAGCTGGTGACATTATATAAGTTCTCTGTTGAAAGAGCTTGTGTATACTCCTGCTACTCTAAGGACGGGTCGTCACTGAGGCCTTGAAATTTGGAAGAGAAGGTTCGCCTGAGGCAGGGAATAAAAGCTTTGTTGGATGGCAGTCCCTTTGTTCCCACTTCCTCTACACTGCTCAACTGTTGATTAATTGGCGAGATTAATCCAAACCCACAGAAAGCCAGCTGAAGTGCCCCACTTTCTGAAAAGCTTTGCAACCTCTGTATCAAGCAGGCATTGATTATCAAGTACAGTGGTGCCTCGCTTAACGAGCGCACCGCATAACAATGAAATCGCATAGCAATCCGTTTTTTCGGATCGCTAATGCGATCGCTTAACGTTTTTAAAATAGGGCTAAATTCGCTTTGCGAAGACGGGTAAGCGTTTCGCTTACCGATCTTCGCAAAACGAAGCCCAACCATCAGCTGTTCGGCAGCCAAAATGGCCGCCGGAAGCCCGGAAATGGCCCAAAATGGCCGCGCGCAGCGTTTTCGCGCCCTCGTTAAGCGAGGCGAGGGCGCGAAAATGGCTGTCGGCCATTATGAAGCTTTGCTAAACGGTGAGTATTTGGCCCATTTGGAACGCATTAAACGATGATTAATGCGTTCCAATGGGTTTTTTTGATCCGTTCAACGATGCTTCAGCATAGCGAAGGTTAATCCGGAACGGATTAACCTCGCTATGCGAGGCACCACTGTACTGTACTCACTATCAAGTAGAGATTCACGGAGTAAGAACGGCAGGTGTGGTAAGCCATTTGAGATTACTTCTCTGCCTTGAGAATGAAACTCCCTACAAATTTTGATATTTGTTGCCGCAAAGTCTAAAGACAGGGAGCTGAGACGGACATCTAGTTGTGGGCTTCTTAAGATCTCCAAAGAAAATTTGGGAGTGCCCGCTCAGTGTTTGTTTGTACTTCTATTATCGTGTCCAAGTCTGTGGGAGCTCCTCATCGTTTTAAATTTTCAATTCTGGTTGATGGACTTATTCCGGACTAGTCTAACAGAATTTGGAATTTGGAATTTTTTGCATTTATAGTTTTATAGTTTTGTATTTTTATACTTTTTTAGTTTTATATATGTATAGAATTCATCATAGTTTATTATTATCTTACTTTCTTATTTTTTCCTATTATCTTATTATTATTTTTAATTTAGTCTATTACAGCAATACAGGGGACCCTTGACTTACAGACGGCTTGACTTACAGACTTTTTGAGTTACAGACTTCTCTGGCCGCAAAATTTAGATTTTACTTGCAGACTGAGATTTGACTTACAGACCAGAAAAAAACCAAAATGGAACAAAAACGGCCTGTTACGGGATTAATCGGTTTTCAATGCACTGTAGCTCAATGGAGACTTGACCTACAGACTTTTTGACCTGCAGCCACCGTTCCAATACAGATTAATTCTGTAAGTCAAGGGTCCACTGTACTCCCTGGACTGTACTTTCCCTGCCTTTCCTGAACCTTTCTTGACCTAAAAAAAAAAAAGAAACAAAATATCCCCCTCTAGTGGCCGAAGGCGGAATAGCAGCTTCCCATTAGTTTCTATGGACGGAAAAGAGCAGATACGGATCAAATGGTTTTCAATGCATTCCTATGGGAAATGCAGATTTGACCTGAGAACTTTTTGACTTGAGAACTGCCTTCCAATACGGATTAAGTTCTCAAGTCAAGACCCCACTGTAATTCGATTTTATTGAATAATGGTTTTTACTAGACAGGGTTATAAAAAACATGGGATTTCCCCAGCACATGTCAGCTTTCTGGAAGAAAGGAAAGGGAGGAAAGGGAGTCAAAAGAAAAATCACTAATTTCTTTTCTCCCAAAAATGAGGGCATTAAACACACAAATAAAACTTTAGACTGGTCAATTGAGAACAGGTGTACAATAATAGAATCAAACAAAGATGATCCTGGTCCTAACTTGGCAATGGAACTAGCATCTGTAGAAAATGCTTTGGACACCAGTGGGGTGGAGAAGAAAGGAAGAAAGGAGGTAGATGACTTTATATTAAAACAAATAGAGGAATTAACACAAGGAGGCACCCAAATAGAAAAAGGACCCCCGCCAAAAATAATCAAGACAAGTGATAAGTCTGATATCAGCACACTGTTCTGTTGGTTAAAAGATATCCTAGATGAGATGAAGTTAATTAAATCATTCCTCTTCGAATCTCATGATATACTAACTACATTAACCAACTTAATTCCAATAAGCAATTTACCCAGAAACAATAATATACAAACTGACCAAGGTACCGCATCCCCACTTCCACTGCATGATTTGTCCAAAGGGAAAAAAACTTCTAAAAAGAAGGCTAAAAACAGGAATATGGAGGCTTCATTGGCACCTATCACAGCTGATAGCAATTGACAGATTGTTCTGCACTGAGTTTACTTATATCTTCTTGGGACTTGATTACATGTTTTTATTCAGCTCTTCTAACAGCTAATTCTAAAATAGAAATGGAGGTGGTGGCACTTTAGATGAAGCAAAGTAAAAGCACCGTGCTATTGCAGAGCAATCTCCTGCAGACAAGGTTATTAGCTGAGCAGCATTCCTTTGTCTGAGATTCCAGGGCCAAAACCAGAGAAGGGGAAGTTATGCTGTCACAGGGCAGGCCCCTTTGCTATCACAGACACAGCAGGCAGGGATGGGAGCACTTCTGCTCCAGCTAAAGGCACAAGGGCAATGTGGGCAAATGGGTACAGAATGTAGATAAAACCTGGTCAGCCAGGTAATATGACAACCTTGTGCCAGGGGGAAATGCTAGTTTCTTGGCAGATGTGAATGTGAAGGCAGCTGCTGCCAGCTTTGAAAAAAAACCCACCAGAGATAGAAAGCACCTAATACACAGAAATCAAAGGTTCTCTTCCTTTAGTGCTGCTTGGTTTGTCTTCCTCCCTGAATACCCAGGGAAATGCATTACTTTCCTGTAGGACTTCAGCCCTGCTGCAGAACATGGCAGTGACAACTTCTCCACAGAAAAAGTGAGCTAGTTGCCTTAGCTTTAAAAGCAAGCCCTATTTGGCCGAACAAAAATGAACCCACATGAAAACTATTTCAAACCACATACTACTTTGGCACCTTATGAGGTTTTGGACATGATAGATGGCTTCAAATAAATGGGATAACAGTCCATGAAACTTTGCACCATGATATGACTGTTAATGTTTAGGGTATCACTCTTTTGGGGGAAAGGCATCAACTACATCGTTATTAACTAGTTAACCACAGGTTTATTTTTTAGAAATGAATTGTTAGGATGACATAGGGGCTTCTAGTTTGGGTGTACGTTTGTTTTATCTCTAAATGGGAAGCAATAACCATAGCCCCTTCCTCACGGCCCCTTCCCAGACAAAAGAAGCAACTCCTGGGCGGGAAATTTAACGCAAGGCAGCGCATCCGCAGCACCAGAGGCACTTTCAGCTATAGGTAGGTAGGGCGGGGGGGGGGGGGAGAGAAGAGGGCGGAGCCAGCGACCCACATCCACGTGCCGCTTCGTATCGGCTCTCTGCTCCCAACCAATACCCACGCGGAAAAGTGGCCAATAGCGAAGGGGAGCCGCTTCTGGAGGAACGGCTGTAAACACGGTGCCCCCACCCACCCATCCAGCTCGTCGTCGCTGCTTTCGCTTGACACCGCCACGCAAACGCGTCAGCGTCCTGGTGCCCCGCAAGCAACACTCGCGAACTGGCGACAGCTCCCTCTGTACAAGTGCAACCCCCGGGAAGCATGCAGGAAACGGGGCAACGTGGCGCCCGCCTCTCGCTCCTTTCCTGACCGCCGCGTGCGTGCCTCCGTGCGCGCCCCG